GTCCATTGGGGGTCCTTCTGTTGGCGTTCGGCAACATCGCGGGGGGGGGGTCGGGGCCCTCGTGGGCCGTTTTGGCGCCTTCATGGGCCGTCCTGGTGCCTTCTTGGGTTGTTTTGGGGAGCGTGGGCCCGCTGGAGTCCCCGTTGGGCCCATCTCGGGCACTTCCGGGGACCTCCCATGGCCCTTTTGGGTTTGTGCTGGGAGCCCTTGGGGTGCCTCTTGGTTCAATTACGAGCTGTGTTGGGGCTCTCGTTGGCGATCGCGGGGCCCGGCTCGGCCGTCTTGAAGCTTTCTCGGGGGCCTTTCGAGGCGTCTTGAGGCGATCTCGGGGGCTTTGAAACCGTTTTGAAAGCTGATGAAATCCGAAGGGCGGATATGCTAAACACGTAAGTTGCGCGACGTGAGTGGGGCGAATTTTGTGTTTTGAAGGCCCCTGGGGAAGCTTGAATACCCATCTGTTGAGCCAAATGCGAGACCATTGGGTACGGACGCGATTCACGCCGCGCCGCCAGGATTGCATGATCTTGTAGATCGGACGTGGGATCAACCGTTCAACCGTGTCTCTACTCATGGAATATGGGGAAGGATTCTCTTAGCTGTGCGCGAGGTTATATTATTCTTCATACCCGCTGAGATTCCTGTTGCGTTTCCCGGGTATGAGGTACAGCGTACTCCGAGATCTGACTCACCCTTGCGGGATGCTTATGCTTTGGATTGTCGGATCCGAACTGCAATCGAAATGTTCGATTTGCTTCGTATTTGGCCGGATGCATTTGGAAATGAGGTATCAAAGACCGCACGACAAAATTGCTCCGATATTCAGGAGGCTATTGTCTTAATGTGAACATCGAAGCAGCGCCAACAAAGTGCCCGTATTTGTCCCGCTAACAGCCTCTTTGGAGTCTTCGATACCGATAACGCCATTGGAATTATCAAGCTTCTTGAGAAGAAAAAGGAGGCGAGCGGCACGGCCGACTCCCCCTGTGAGACAGTCCCAGCTGAGTCGCCGGCACGTGCTGCGGCCCCAATTGCTGAAGGCATTACCCCGCGGCCACGCCCTCGCCCGCCTTCGCGGCCGCGATTCTCGCGCGGGAAGCCGTCTTACCGTACCGCCCCCTATTCGCCTGCGTCTGCCGGCGCAGCCGCGTCAGGCCACGCGATTAAACGGGTCGGTTCCGCCGGAGTTCAATCGTGGGCGGACGAGCCCAGGACCGAGGAGTTCATGCCCCAAAGACCAGCTGTTCCGACGGGTGGCGGCTCCGCGCGCGATGGCGACGGCGCTGGGCCGGTCATGGGCGGCGTCTTACGACGCGACCGTGGATTATGGAGGCAAGACCGAGACTGGAGATATTCAAGGACATGTTGTACAAGTTCTCGACATCAGCCAGTTACCGGCCGCAGTAAAACATGGCAATGGTTCCGTCTTGATGACCGCAGTAAGAAGCTCCATCGTTTTTTTAGAACGTCAAGTGTTTTGCGAGTGCCCACACACCCGCCTGCGCCGAAGGCGAGTTTGTCGGAGCAGGGCCGGGGCAACGGTGAACCGAGCGAATGGTGCCCACAAAGTGACTGGAGGTCAAGAAGATAATGGCGCTGGGAGGACTCTCGTGAGTCGAGAGGCCGCTGGAAAATTTGAAGATGAAGATGAGCTGGGTCCAGTGCGACACAGTCGTCGCTGGATCGTACTACTTCGTGGAGCGGGTGCATCAGGTGTGCGCGGGCATTGATACCTGAGCTGCGACTAATCGCTCAGGCGGGAAATGTCGGGCATCTCCGGCCTTCCACCCCCTGGCGCCCACCGTCGAGCGGTAAAATTTTTCTTTTGGGAGCTCGCTCCGGCTGTTGTATATGTGTAGAGGCCTGGTGGGTGAGGGGTCGGGGCGGCTTTGCGCATCCCGCCGCGGAGGGGGTCACTGCGCCCCTCCGCGCCGCCAGGTTCCTGCCCGTCTCGCTCGTCCTGCTTGCGCCTCACTGTCTGCTTCTCTTCTTGTCTTGGGCGCTCTGCTCCCGCAGCTACACGCTTGTGACCCTGAAGTAGCGGAAAAGGAGCGCGCCCGCGCGCGGCCGCGCGCGTCGGCCGGCTGGCCGGCCTCCTCCCTTCAGCGCTATCTCAGCGCATGTTTGACGGCATTATCTTTTCTTGCCCATGTCTTCTGTGAAGCCCATTGACTCTGAGACATCATCCAGGGAAATTATTGACACCCGTGCAAGTATTTAGTTTGCAACTGTATGACTATATGTATAAATCCACATAAATGTAGTTATGTAGTTATTTCCACACTTATCCTTCCTCTCTTCCCATCTACTTCAATGTTGTTTTCTAGCTGTTTTCCTCGTGCCCCGCCCGCCGCTGCACGCTTTTCCTCGGGGAGGCGCGCTGCGAGTTTGCGCCGGTGATGTTATCCATCGTGCGCCCACGTGGCATCGCGAAAAAAATCACGGCGTGGGAGCGCGGGTTGGTGAATTGATCGGGCGGTGGACTTTTGGTGTTGCGGTCGTGGGGTCGCGGGGTGGTTGGGTCGAGGGATCGTCGCGGCGCAGGGCCGTGCGGTTGCGGGGCCGTGGGGTCATGGATCTTTGGCGGGTTCCTTTGGGAAGCCTTGGGTTTTTTGTTGGATCTTTCACGGATGCATGCGAAAACCCTAACTATCTTTGGGGATCCCAATGTGATCCCCAAGGAAGCCCAAGGGATCTATGGGGGTCCTCAGCGGATCAGCAGGATCCTTCTCCCTAGGAAAGTATTTTGGGTCCTTGAGGATCCCTAGCGGATCTAAGGGGAACCCTATGGATCTTTGGGGATCTTTAGTGGAAGCCTGAGGGGACCTTGGGGATCCGTGAGGATTCGTGGGGCCCTTAGCGCGCCCCCCAGGAACGCCGCAAATAACCTAACATATCCTTAGCGGCCACAGAGGGAATCCTTAAGTGTCCTTGGGGTTCCTCGACTGATCCTTTGGGAAGCTTAGGATCCCTCAACGGATCCCCCCAGGGATTTCTCAGGAGTCTGAGCGGCACCCTCGAGAAATCCTACGGACCCCTGGGGATCCTTAGCTGATCTTTTCGTGAAACCTTAGGAATCCGTGCGGATTCTGGGCGGATTCCCAAAGAAACCTTCGGGGTCTTTGGGGAAATCGAAAGGACCCCCAGGAAAACCTCGGGAATCCTTTTTGGAATCCTGGACGGATTCTTACGGAAACCTTCGGGGTCCTTGGGGGCCCTCAACGGATTCCAGGGGAACAATGGATGGGGGTGATCCCCAGGGAAGCCTTTGGGATTCTTGTGCATTTTCTGCGGATCCATAGGAAAATACGTGAATTGTTTCCACGTTTGTTTGGGACCCCCCACAAGCACCATCATGACTACATTGCGTACCAATAGCATACCAAAGCGACCGCAAGGAAACACACGTGACAGTCTGTGCACATTGGGACATTTGCAGGACTACGCGGGAACGCCGGGCGCCAGGTGCGTCCGAGAGGCGCCAGCATAATGATGTTATATATATATATATATATATATACCCATCGATTTGCGAGGGCACTCAAACAAACAATCGCGTTGCTCTCTTTCAGAAACTCACTTCGGATTTCAAAGAGTCAATTCGGCGAAACCTTTTTTTACAGCGCCCAACCGGCGAAGTTGGAGCCCATCCGGCGGGACAGAGCCCCCGACCCGGCTGACATTCGAGCCCATCCGGCGTGCCGAATGGTTTGTCTTGCCAAAAAAGTCCATTCGGCGAGAAAACAGAGCCCATCTGGCAAAGGGAGTCCATCCGGCGAAAAGAGAATCCATCCAGCGACGCGACCTACTATTTGCAATGTTTTCTACACGCTTAGCTCACGCCAGTTAGAGCCCATGCGGCGCTTACTTCGCCGAATGCAATTCCATTCGGCGCCGAACGGACTCTTTTCAGCAGGTCTGGCCAGGGCTGGGGCCAGGGCCGAACCGCCCGGGGGGGAAGCGCATGTGACTTTGGACTTCCCTGGGACCCCCCCCTTCCCCAGCGGGAAGGGATGAAAAAGAAGGGGCTTCCCTCGACGTCGGCTTCCCTCGACGTCTTTCTGGAATTTGATGGAACCGCGGGATTCGCGGGCTTCCTGGGCCAGGGCTGGGGCTGGAACCGGGACCAGAGCCGGAGCCAGGGCCGGGGGCTGGGGTTAGGGCCGGAGCCCGGCCAGGGCCAGGGCTGGGGTCAGGGCCGAACCGCCCGGGGGGGAACGTATCTGATCCGGGATTTCCCCCGGGACCCCCCCCCTCTCCTTGGAGAGGCGTCGTTTTTGACAGCCTCAGAGGAAACCGAACAGCCTTTTCCACACGCCGACACAGGGTCGGCGGATTTCAAGAGTCGAGCGATTTACCCTTTGCCTTCATCTTCAGGGGGCGGTGGGAAATCCAATTTACGTTCAACGCCTTCCTACTTCATGTTTCGATACCTCTTCCGAACGGTGGGTAAGTTTTCATATGTCCGCGCGGAATGTCTTGTATTGGGGGCTGCCCCCCCTCCTTGGCGCGCGGAGCGCGTCAGGGGCGGCGGCCGAGGCGCCTCCTGGGGGGTCCAGCGCCGACCCAAGAAAGCCGCGCGGGCATCCGTTGGCTGTAATGTTCATGTTGTGGGTTTTCTTCCGAGGTGGTTGCGGCGCTGGCTGAGGATCGGGGGACGTCAATTGACGACGTCAACGATCCTGGCCAGGCCGATCTTGGGCCCACGATGGGTGTACGTCGATGTGCCTCCCAGGCCGTGCCACACGGGCGTGTTCGCCCATCTTTGGCTCAGGATCGGCCTGGCCAGGACTGGTGGGATGGTCAGTTGACACCAAACATCTGGCGTCGTGATCTTGTGTGCAACGTGGCTCCACAGAGGCTTGGACCTCTTCCCCGGGACTGGCTGTTCATCCTGGGTCGTTGTCTGAAGCTTTCGGGGCCTGGCGAGGCTCCCGGAAGGCGAAGATTAGCCAACAATTGTGACGCGTCTTGATCTTGTCACAAGGAGAGGATGTCAGTTGATGCTCCCCGAGAGGAGGGAGCGGAAGGCCACGACAGCCTCCGATTCGGTGCCACGGCCGCCCTCGGGGCTCAGGGCCACCGGGCCGTGCCGCACGCCGAGCTTCTCGCCTCCGCGCTGTCGGACAGGTCGTGGGCGGTGCGCCGCGCCGCGGCCGAGGCGCTCCGCCAGGCTGGGCCGGCCGCTCTGCCCAGGGTCGAGGCCATCCTGGGCGAGGCCCTGCAGAGCAAGGACGCAGACGTCCGGTGCTCTGCCCTCCAGGTGATCTCGAAGGGGGAAGAGCGGCACGGGCATGGTCGGCGGCGAGCGAGGGGCGGAGGTGAGGGGGAGAAGGCCTGCTCAGAAGGTTCGGGAGTCTCCCGGCCTTCTGGGGAGTTTTCTAAGCCTTCCCCGAAGACAGACAAAAGCTTCTCAGAAGGCGCGAGGGCTTCTGAGAAATCCCGCCGCCCTCTGAGAAGGCCTTCTCCTTCTCGTTTTTCCCCCTCGCTCGCCGCCGAGGGACGGTATAGGCTCATGCGGCGTCGGCGCGTCGGCGACGCCGGCGAGGGCGTTCAAGGTTGAATTCTGCGACGCGGAAGCACCGATGGACACGGTGCCCGACTGAGGCCAGCCTTGAACGATCGGGGCCGCGATCGATTCAAGGTTGATTGAACGATCGACGCGGTGTCAAAAAAACTGTTGTGCGCGCCGACGCCGCGCGAACCTACTGTACACCAGGTCACTTCTAGGGCGCGAAGGCAATCGCGCTTCGCGCATCGCGGCCTGGGTTGGAGGGACGCCCTTCTCCAGGGCGGCGGAGCGAGGGCGTGAGGGTACGGCGCATCGCGGGGCTCGGGGCGCGAAGTTAGGTCACCTGGATACACTTCTGGAGGTCCCCGCGGAATTCTTGGGTCGTCGAGAGGAAAAGCCCCCACATTGCCCCGGTCGATGCTGCGGCCGCAAACTCTTGCGGGCCTGCCCGCCGGGTCTGGTCCGGGGTCGTCTTCAGCAAAGGGTGTTCTGCTCCATGGGGCCCTGTCTACCCCCGAGACCCGAGATCGGCGATGGACTCCCATGGCGGCGCCTCCAGCACGGCCGGGGGCGCGCTCGAGCCGCGCGCCAGGGACGGCCCAGCGCCGGTCTGAAGTCCCCGCGGACCTCCGCAGATTTGCGGCTTTGCTGTTTTTTCTGCTTCCATGATGGGTGCCCTTGGCGCGAAGAGCGCCCCTGACGACACCACGTCCGAGGTGACAAGGGCGCCCTTGGATCAGCGGAGGGCATCGATGGCGCAGCGGGTGGCCGGAAAGATCAAGGACGAGGACAAGTACGTGTCCTCTATCCCGGGTGTTGCCAGAGGTGACCTTGGCCCAAGGTGAGCGACGGCAGAAACAGGGTCGATTGCGCGGACATTTGCGCGTAAGCTGCGTGCGGAAGATGCAGCGTCAGCGCCCCGTTTTCAACGTTGTGTGCCGCGCTAGCGGCCCGCCTAAGCCGCGGCGTCAGGCCGCTGTTTTTCATCGTGCGCAAGAGCCGACGAGCTGCATGTATGCGTTGATCAGGTGGCCCCAGAGCACCTTCACGAGGCCCAGGGCAGCCCAGAGCACAGGTGGCACAGGTGGCCCCCAGAGCACCCCTCACGAGGCCCAGGGCGTCCTGGGGTCCCGGAATGGCGCGAAGGGCTAGGAGGAACACCTCAAGCTCCAGACATCCGACGTTGCTTTTTTGTCACCACTTACATAGCAACTCATGGGATGCTATTTTCAAGTCGTCGTGCGTCCTGGGGCGGAGCAAATGGCAGCAAATGGCAGCAAATGGCGAGGGGTCATGGCTGCAAGTTGCAGCACATGGCAGCAACGTTTGAGTGTGTATGCGTTCGACCAGACATGCGTCCGAAGGTGAGTGAGTCTGAGTGCGAGACGTCCTGGCATGAATACCTCAGTATGTGTCGGTTTGGGAATGCGTGAGCCCGAGTACGAGCGAATATCAGCGTGGAAGCATCCAGGTATGAGTGAGTCTGCTTGGGAGCGAACTGTCATACGAAAGCTTGTGTGTTTGTGTGTGTATCAGAGAGTTGTCTGTGTGCGAATGTGCTTGAGTATGAATGAGCGGAGCGTGAGTGAGTCAGAGTGAGCCGCGCGCCACGCGGAACGAAGAACGGGCAGGAATGACTGCCACGCGCCTGCTGCGCCTCCACACGGGGCCCGCGGACAGTTTCGCGCGTGCGTTTCGCCGGAATGTCGCACTCTGTCGGTTTTTTCGTCTATATGTCTGTGTGTCTGTGTGTTTGTATGTTTTTTTTGTTTCTCTCTCTCTCTCTCATTATCTATATTTTTTCCCCCGTATTCCAGTCTCCCTCTCCCTCCTTATCCCTCCCTCCCTCCCTCTCCTTTTTCTTTTCTGTCTCTCTTTCTCTCTCTCTTTCTCTCCCCCTCTCTCACTTTCTATATATTGTTCCAGTCGCGCTCAGATTCACTCAAGCCCAAGTGGTGCTGCCGCCTCTGATTTCGCCTCCTCCTCCTTCTCCTCTTCCTCCTCTTCCTCCTCCTACCCCATGGCATTCGTACGCCTTGCTGCCTCTTCCTTTTTCTCCCAGGTCACAGTTCACTGCGCGAGCTTACCATGGCAGGTCGGCTCGGGTGGCGTTTTTGGTTTGCCCGGCGATTTTCTGTTTCCCGCTGCTGGGCCAGCCCCGCCGTGGTCAGACCCAATGGTCGCTCGCTCCTGCCCCCCCCCCTCCCGAAGCGACCCCTCCCCCAAGAAAATTCCCTCCAAGCAGTCTCGGATCAAGCCCCTCCGTAGCAACAACCATTTCTCTTCAACGCTCCCCTTCCAGGCTGTTTCAGCCTTCCTTTTCGGGAAACAACGACCCCCCCTTCTTCCTACCGCCGTCCTCTCTTATACCCCCTTCCCCATCAGCCCTTCCTTTCCCCTTCTTCCTCTCAGCCCTTCCCCCCCCTCTGCTTCCCCCCCGTCCTTTCCTTGTTCCCCGTTCTCCCTGTTACTCCTCATCCCCCCCTCCGCTTCCCTTCTCCGCGCATCCCTTCCCGCCCCTTCCTCATCCAAGTTTTCCCTGCCCCCCCGGCTTCCCCTTCCCTTTCCCCCCGCCCTGTCTTTTCTCCTCCTCCCCCCCTTTCCCTCCAAGCCGCGGTTTCCCGCGCCCCCCCCCCCGCCCAGCCTCCTTCCGCGCGCCCAGCTGCCTGCGGCAAATCCCGCCGCCGCGCTTGTGTTGTGGGTTGCAGGCCCCGTGTATGTTCGTTGGGACATCGTGGGAAGCCATTCGGGGGCCTGTTGGAGGCAGTTTGCAGGCTTTTGGGGCGCCGTCTGGGGGCCTCTTTGGGGCTCTTGAGTGGGGGGCCTCTGAGGGGCCTCCTGGGGGGGCCTCCTGGGGGCCACTTGGAAACTTTTTGGGGCTTCCTGGGTGCCTCTTCCGGCGGAAGGCTCGACTTGTCGGTTCGCGTTCCCCCTCTTGGGCCCCTTCGGGGCCGTCTTGGGGCCCCCTTGGGCTGTCTTGGGCGCCTCTTGGGCCGTTCGGAGGCCCTCTTGGGCCGTTTTGGGGCCCTCTTGGGGGCCGTTTTGGGCCGTTTCGGGGCGGTCTAAGGGGCCCTTGGGACCCTCCTGGGGCGCCCTGAGGCCATCTTGAAGGTTTTCGGGGCTGTCTTGAGCCGATGAAAGCTAGGAGCGGCGAGAACGCGAACCAGTCTTTCAAACACCAATGGAAAATCAATGATTTTGGCTTCTTCGGGCCGTTCTCTGGCGGAATCATCCGAGCGCCTCCAATGCCGGATGAAGTCGGATTCAGATGCGTGCTTGCTGCGCGATCTGGACAGCGGCAATCGAGGGATCGGATCGTGCGAGTGCAGCGGCGGATGGAGGTGCCGCTTTCGACCGCGATGTCCTTGGGCGCCCTGCAATGCCAGGTGAATGACCTTCACTCGTTGATGGGCACGGCGCTCATCATCAAGTGGCTTGCCATCGCCGCTCGCACTGGCTTCGACAGCGCTGCCACGAGCGGTGGCCAATTGCTCGCGCTCCACCTTGCCAGCGCGATCGCGCCAAGTGCTTCTGCCTCGTGAGCGCTGATCGCCAAGCCGTTATGGACCAGCACCAAGGCGCTAGCATTGCCGAGCAGCTTGCCAGCCTTGCTCCAGCATGGAGCATGCTCGCCGATACTCACCCTTGCGCACCATGCCTTGACGTGGGCCACTTGCGGCGCCAATGCCGACAACCTGCCTTGCGACTGCACGCTCGGGGCACCAATGCGCCTGATGTGCTCCAAGAGCATGCCGGCAGGGCAATGCGGTGAGCGCATGGCGACGTCTTCATGCAGGAAGAACTCACGCGCGGCCCTGGGGTGGCGGGCTACGTCGGGTCTTGCCTGGCCACGCTGAGGATCGGCCTGCGCGACGTCGCTGGCGGCCCACAGGGCAAAGCAGCGGCGAAAGGCATGGGCAAGAGCGGCGGCATCGTGGCAGGGCGTCGCTCGTGACAATCATCCCCGAGGACGTCAAGCCCAATATGATTTGCTCGCACGGCGTGGAAATGCACTGGGACAGGTCGGCGTCAGACCTCCCGGGCGTTTCCGCCGGCGGCGAGTTCGCAGAGGGCCGCAGAGTCTCGCTTGGCGGTCCAGGCAACGCGCTCGTGCTTGAGGTCGGCGCGACGCGCGCCAGCCACAGCTTGGCCAGCCGCTATGGCGAGGCCATGGGAGTCATCGGCGACGTCGCCCACAAGCCGGCAGCGAAAGTCGAGCTCAGCGAAGAGGAGGTCTTGGCGCTCAAGCGCATCAACGCCAGAGTGGCACCGAGAGCACGCGATGGCGGCGCAGGCGATCCAGACGGACCTTCCCAAATCAAGGCCGGCGGCGCAGGCAAGAGGGACGCCAATCCGCTCGCGGCCTACGACGCCGAGATCGATTGCATCGACATAGCCGACATGGAATCGCTGGGCGACGAGGGCAAGTTCGACCTTGACGCCGCGGGCGACGAGCAGGAAGAGCGACCGGGGCGGCCCGGGGCCAAAGCGCCTGGGGCGGCGAATGCAGGAGAGGCGGCAGCTGCCGAGCAAGCTGACGAAGGCGGGGCGGAAGACGCGCGCGCTGGTGGAGCAGGCCCGCGCGCGGCGATCGACAGCGAAGAGAGCGGCGAGCCGACGGCTGAGGCGGGCGAGGCCGAGAGAGATGCCAAGCGTGCCAAGGCCGGCGCGCCGTGGGATGAGAGCGGCCTCTGAAGCGCTCGAGCGAAAAAAAGCAGCGCTCTTCGACGCGCGATGCTTGAGATTCAGGCCATCATGGCGCCGATCGGGGCAGTCGCCAACGAGCGCGCGATTGGGGCCTAAGCGCCCGCAGCGCCGATTCGTGGCACAAGCGCAGGGCCGCTGGCGAATGGCAGGCGTCGCGCCAGTGGTGCGGGCAGCAGGCGATGGCCATGGCGACGAGCCTGATGAAGCCACCAAGCGGAGAAGGAAAGCTGCCTTCAGCGACGCTGTCAGCGAGACCTACAAGGACAACCTTCGCGGTGGCCGCCAGGCGCCCATCCTGGGCAGCATCGAGGTGACATTGGCCGCTGCCCGCAACGTCATCGCTAGGGGGGCGGCCGGGCTCGGCCCGCGCTGCAAGTGGCGAAACAAGGTGATTCGCTTCGACTGCGCGCTGATGCACCAGGCGCTCGCTGCCAGGGATGCCGGCGCACGCGCGCGAGCAGGCCAGGGCGCGGCAAGGGCCTACGCGGTGGCAAGCCTCGTCAGCATCTTCCCCCGCCAGGTGGTGCAGGAGATGCGCCTGCTCGAAACTTCATCGCGGAGCGTGTCCAGCAACGCCGAGGCGGCTGTCGGCAAAGCCGACAGCGTTGCCGCTGTCGTTCACGCCGCTCTCTCTGCGTCCGCATCCAATCCCTTGTCGTCGCCCTCTGCAGGGCATTCACAGACTTGGCGCCTCGCTCTGCGGCAGCTGGCGCCGGGCATGCGCAAGCCGCTGCTCTGATGGCGACGTTCGCCAGCTCCGGCGCCATGCGCCTCGGGCAGAGCGCTCGCATGCACAAGCGCTTGCGCCTGCTGGTGCCAGGCGTCGCGCTAGCCGAGCTGGAAGGCACCGCCACGGCAGAGAAAAAAAGCCCGCTCTGGTAGAGAAAAGTCTGCTCTGGCCGAAAAAGCCCGCCAGGGCCGCAAAAGCCCGCCGCGGCCGAAACAGCCCGCCGTGGCCGAAAATGCCCGCCTTGGCCGAAGAAGCCCGCCATGGCCGGAAAAGCCGGCCTTGGCGTGCCCAGCGTGGCCAGCGATTTTAATTTATCGTAGCTTATCTTAAATTGTAGAATTTCAAAACAAACGGCAGAAAGC